AACAGAGGAAAGTCTCTTGAGGTTCGTAAACACCCTGCTCTTACTCATGAACATGCCGGGGACAACTCAGTTTCCATGACAAAAGGTTAATCGTCGTCCAATTCAACAGAGCTGCGGAAAGGAGTAGCTCAAAGTTCACTGCATCTCCTCCGGGTCCGGGTCTCCGTTCAAGCCTGCAATCATCCTGTTACCCAGCCCTAAATCACAAATCTCTCGTGTATACCAGGAAGGAATGGGTAGAAAGACTCACGGCAGGTAGATATCAGAATCAATGCCGAGCATCGTGTCTACCGTTGTTCCCCCATTCCCCCTATCATGCAAACAAGGAAAAATGATGGCAGAAAGAGAGGTCATTCACTTGAGCATCTTCAAGACCGCCCTTCTACTTCGGATACATGACTCTCTATTGAATTCCGCTTGTTTGGAGAACTCTGCATGAAATTACGTACACCTAAGCCAGCTTTATGGTCCATTCACTCGCCCGGCGAGGTCTGAGCCGGTCCTCAGTGTCTTCAGCTTGAATTTGAGAAAAGCCGCCTCTCCCTGAACCGGGCGTTGCCTCTCGGACGGCTCAGCACTGTTATCATGCTGCTAAGCATCGCTAGCATGAGCAGAGTAATGTCAATCACCGCCAGCAGCTCGGTCATGGTTCAAGGGATCTAAGGCAATATCATCAATCCAAAGTATTACATCTAAGAAAGCGGAACGAATCGGCTCACGTCGAGGAAAGCGTTTTCAAAGCGTGCTTTCTCATTGGAAGAATTTCTATTGAAACAGTTCATTTGATGCAAAGCCGCAATCCCTTATTCGTAGTAGGACTGATGAGAGGAGTGTCTGTGGATATATTGAGAGAAGACCAAGATCGCCCTGGACAGGACGTGGGCATGGAACTGCCGTCGAATGCTTCCATTGTCAGATTTCAGGTACAATTCGGGAAATGTCATGCCTGGAACACTTCAGCGTCATACATATTTTCCACCAGCAGTCCATTTCATACGTGACCAGCGCGAAATGCATCTCGTACGGCGGATCCAATTTCTTCCATATGTACGGTCATTTTCCGATAAATTTTGTTAGTCTGGCCTGTTGGCGCCGAAACGAAAGCCTCCAGTGTCATTGAGAAACATGGGGTGTATCCTGTACGGCAGCGCATCTCGTATCAATGTGTTGATTTAGGTCCTCGCAAGTCGGACGTAGTTTGACTGAGCGACAAAGCAGATGCGATTCAAAATTAATGATCTCCAGGAAATATGCTTCGCGGACGTAGGTAGCACCGCAAGCTCGAAGCTCGCGTTTAAAGCAAAGTTCTGATGGTCGGAGGTGATATTGAAGACGGCAATGACTGGGCTCACTTTGCAGAAGCATGCTGCGCTGTGCACTGTATGCTTCACAAAAGGCCTCTTGAGTCGGCATTGTTGGGTGATATCACTGGAAGCTTTATAGAGACGGATGGATACCTGCATGTTTTGTCAGTCTGTGGCATCAAATCCAGTCGAACTGCATCGCAAAACCCGGGAGCTGCATTATGTAAAGTATCGGAGCAACACATGCTATCTTGGCTAACGGGAGTGGAGCTGAATACCGATGACATGTGACGTGCTATGAAGCATCAATTCTCAAATAGCAGCCTCGAATGACATCATGATCATCTCGGTGTCTCTCACGCCCACAAAGCCCCAGATGTCCCAGGGTTTTGTTTCTTACCCGCAATGAACATGATCTGGCCGTGCAGCGGAGCGTTGAGAGCACTGGTCCAGGATGATGTCCCCAGACGCTCCAGTCAACATGTTATCCTTTTATACGATACACATGGACAGCTTTAGCTGCCCTTTTGTCACCGCGTCTTTCGGGATGAAGTCTTCATTGACCTTACGGTTGGGCGCCCAGAAATATGTGGGTCGTGCTTTTTGGTTGCTTCATCGGCAGAACCTCGGACGTGCCGCGTTTGCAACACATCACTGAGATGACCGATGCCTACGAACACAGCGCTCTTGGCTGGCGAAGCGTCACATTCGTACTGGAACTCAACAGCGGAAGGCTTGTGGACGGCTCTGCGGCGCAGCTCAGCGATAGTTTAGTCGACGTTGGGCACGGAGGTCAGAGAGACCATTGGGTAGGCAGCGGGCTTGGCCCAGGTTGAAGAAAGCGTGCAGGGGCAGATATCACTGAGGATTCCGACAGAGTCTACAAATTACTCCATAATACCTTAGCCAGAAATTTGCAGTGCAGAGTGAGGTCTCTCCTCCGTTCGTTGCGTCTTGCGTGTTCATCCTTTGGGCATTGTCAACTGCGGCCGTCGTCTGCGGCAAGGCACTGGAATTACGCCTGGTAATTCCTCACTCAGCATTGGACCGTGGGGAAACGAGACAGACTGGTAAAATTGGGTAGTCGACGCACAATTAATTGGACAGGGGTAATTTTTCGAAACGGGCAACAGGGCAAATTCATGCGTTGTACTGCTGCAATTCGACGTCTCGTAGGTAGGTTGTGAGCGTGATGCGGCACCAAGATGGAAGACGATGGGGTCGTGCCTGGACCCACCTGCGTGCCTGACGAAAGCGCGACCTATGGAGCTTGATCACTCTGACGAGGTCTTGTGGAAGCGCCTGCCTACCTTACCCGACCTTGGATTTTCAACAGCTGCTGATTTTCACTAAGGTACCTGCCGATTCAACTCACCACCTGCCGATCCCCTGCCGATCTTCAGCAACTGCCATTTTTCAGCAACTGCCCTGCATCGAAATTTGAAGCAAGAAACCACCCTGCAGGGAACAAGAGGGCCAAAACCAAATATGACGTCCCATGTGTGTCTTTTCTGAAGGGTGATTGCTTCTCTTCTTCGACACCGTTAATTGGATTAAGAGATGCACATCTCCAACATTGCAAGAGGCTTCGGAGTTGTTTAAAGGAGTGTGCTCAAGACAAGTGGCTTTGGAGGCTCTGGGCAAGGCGATTGGCACCTGCATTGGAGACAGGGACATTGCCCCGTCAGCAGGGAGAGAAGGGGGGGTTGGCTCCATGTTCTTGTGGTGGCTGGAATCGCGCCTGGAAAAGCCAATCGTCTTACACGGGCCAATGTACCCATGTGGGGAGCCAGCCGTGGGTAGCGCATTTCCAGCTACCCACAGGGCAATGGGTAGCCGAAAGCCAGCTACCTAGACCTGGATCCCACGCCGCTGATTGGCTGCACAAGGTAGCCTGCCTGTCTGCTGGCTCTGGGTAGCGCACTCTCAGCTACCTACACAGGCGTGGATAGCGCATTTTCAGCTACCTACCCACAGACGGATTCCACTCTGTCGATTGGCCCTCTCCACCAGGGCCCGGTGAACACGGTGCACCCAACGCCCACGACAGCGCCTTTTTCCTCAACTTGACATGCCTTTGAAGGCATGACATCCGAACCACACATCTCAGCCGTCGACACACCATGTCTGTTCCTTACGACGCACCGCAGCAACCCATTGATGCAAGGCAAGTCACGATGGACGCCCTTGACCACACGGATAAGCAAAGGCTGACTTGTTGACGAGGACAGACATTCGCATCCCTCGAGAGGCCGACATCAACCGCGACCGACGTTGAAGCCTCGACCTTCTCGATTTGGTGCGACCTCCAAAAGGGACGACAGACTCTCGGCCGAGATGCTCCGTAGCTTTCGTCGGTTCGTCAGAGATCATGGACACCATTGACACGGAGATTGTCCTTCATTCGACAAAATTAAACGGCGTTTGCGGCGGACGGTGGCCAGTCTCCGAGGGGTGTGGGAGATGGACAGGATTTCTCACCTGCCTGCTTACATTGCCCACACCTGCAAAACAAACCTCCACCCGCTTTTAACCCGTCAGGCATCCTGTCCTCTTCAGCCCGACAACATCGTTCGACGACCGCTACCTCGTGCCTTGTCCATCGGTCTCCCAAGGCCGAGTCTTCCCAAGGCCTTCTACGGCCAAGACCTCTCGTCATCGGCTCGAACCATAGAACAAGACAACCTGATGGCTTCACGACCAAACACTCTGGAGCAGATGTACCAGGCCTCCCCGAGTGCACCGATGCGCTACACTTTCGCACACCTTGTCCACTGCAACAACCGCTCCCCGTCAAAACTGACGATGGAGGATGGACAATTTGAATCAATCATGACGGGCAATTCTACCTAGCTGCAAGTGGGCTGGATGTGGATTTCGTCAGCTTTCTTGGTCATTGTTCTCTCGGAGGTTGCACGAGAGTTGGCGCCAGAACCGTTGGAGCAGTTTCAGCGAGCGGATGTGCAGCATCGCGACTGGGGATTTGAGGGCCTTTTCTTAGCAATTTTCAGGTTTATTCTGTGACAAATGAAGCCATGCGCTTTTGATACATTTCTTTGCGACTACTCATGATCTTAGCAGACTGCAACAGCGCCTCCACAAAGAAGGCTCCATGGTGACGCCAACAACCACGCCTTGCCAGCCGGCAGATCCACCAAAATTATGATCCTAAACACCAACTAGTCATGCTTGAACCTTTTGCGTCTGTTGTCAGGAGGTCATGCTTTGATGCCATCATTTTTTGTCTCTTCCTCTTCGTGGATTATGGTCAGGGACGACGCCAACGAAAAGACGCGTCACTGGCACTGTGCTGACGTAATGCCGTCGAGACCACAAACGGAGGTGCACAAACGGAGGTGCACAAACGGGGCAACGGTTACCAACTTCACCTACCGCACCTGACGAAATTTACTACTGAAATCGGCAGGTACAACAAGAACACGACTGTCGGCAGGCAGCAGTCAGCCCATCTGCTCAAACGGTTGCTCACCGTCTGGGGGTCGACAATGAAAGTGCTTGCCCACTTTACATACTGCATCTTCCCGGAAGCGCCTTCCTCCCGTCCACCTTCACCATTTTCAGTTCACCGTTTGTTCGTCACGCTTCCAACGCCCTGAAGAGCTACAACGACTCGTTTGGAGCTTCCGCTTGTTCGAATCCCGCCGATTAGACTTTCCCTCCTCTGCCGACGCAACAATGCCATCTGCCACGAACGCCGCCGAGACGACCGAGACCGCCGCTGACGAGGTAATGTCACCTTTGCCCCGGTTCGTTTTGCGTGTCTCAAGATTCTTCGCGCAGGCTCCCGTTGCATCAATGCAACCCCAAACGTCCGCTATGCCGGCCACCCAAGCACCCGAGACCAACGACACCATCGCGACCGACGAGACCGAAAATACCGACAACCCGCTCTACCTCACCCCCAAAACTCCCGAGGCAAACGCAGAGGATCCGGCAGATGGGAAATGGTCCATAGCCGGTATAAAGGGCCACCGCGTCGACCCAAACGACCCGACGAGACTCCAGCTAAGAGTCGCATGGGAACCATCCCACGGCCGCGAATGGCCGCAGACTTGGGAGCCTGAGGGCACGATACAGGAGGACGCCTTTGAAATCTGGTCTGCCTACGCCACGTCCCACGACTGCCGCCGAGTTCTTGGCGAGAACCGAAACAAATAGCATTTGCTGCGTGTTCTCAGCCACGAACTTGAGAGCAACAAAGTCCTTTTTACAGTCGAATGGGAGGGCCACGTGAAGCCCTCCCAACTGAGAGAGGGTTCCGCACGCTATCGCAATCCGGTCCTTGTGGGGGAGTACTGGGCAGCGGCTGGCGGTCGAGCAGCAGCGTTGAGGGTCGTCTGAGGCGGGGCTGTCTATGTAGGGATATGTTGTCGCCTAGAATCGGGCAACCTGTGTTGTCGGTAATGCGAAGGGGCTCACGGGGAAGCGTTGGAGGAGGCTGCCCTTGGAGAGAATGCTACGGAACTAGCGTCAATCTGTCACCCAGTGTGGTTTATTCGTGTGTCTTTGTGTCCACCGGTATGGGTACGTGCCGGGCTCAGAAGTTTGAAGATGGCACTACGGACATGTGTTTGCAACCATCAGAGTTTCTCGCGGCCATGTCCACCAGCCAGGTCTGCCTTGTTGACAAAAGCAGCATTTATCTCGAATCCTGCTCGTTTCTCCTCCTCTCTCCGCCCCATGAATCACCCACGAGTCAATGCTGGTTCCCTTCCAAACATGTTCTGGCACACCGACCAACCATGAGTAAGTATATTTCCCAACTTCTTATGGTTAGAGTTGTTGTTCACATACATTGCCCGTCCCTCAGTCACTGCAGTCGCTTGGCCCAAGCACAGGCATGGCAATGCAGTGGAGCAGTGTGGCATGTCAGACCGCTGTAGCTACAGTGGGCCCATGCCGATTTCTGCGCTAAAATCGGCATCGAACCCGTCACGTCTGCCACTCCCACAGGAGCCTCCGAAAGATGCAACGACCCGACCCGCAGCCATCAGCCGGCATCCCCTTGTCTCCAAGCGTCCCCCTCGCTGCACATCTCAGAATCAGACCGACGTTGTGAATATCGAGGATAAAGTTGCGCTGCCTTGCCCTTGCGAAGCAATATCCATGAGGTGCCCGAGTTCAGCCCGCCAACGGTCGCCCTGACCGCAAGGCACTGACACAGCTCGACACCTAACAGCGCAGCCTTCTCAGATACTCCGGTTTTCCAAGGCAACCAACTCATCAGCATCTCAAATGACTGTTTTCATCCACCCGGGGTAGTCATTCCCGGTCCACGGTGTCTCTACCGGCAGCATCTGTAACGAACTTCCGGTCGCAACGAGGAGCCAGCGACCAAGATTCAACCCCACAGACTTCAAATGACCCTCCGACGGCGCCAGACTCCCAATAGCCACACTTGACGAGGACGATGCGCCCAAAAAGAGCCACCATGCCGCCTCATCAAGTCAACCATTTTCTTGCCCTGTTCGAGAAGCGCATAAGCAAGCTCGTGTACCGACGCTGCTTTCACAGCCCGGACACTGTCAATTCTCCGACCGCTCTCGACCGCAACACCAACACCAGTTCCCTCACAGCTTCCGCAAGAACAGCCACCTTGAGAACACACCACCAAGACGCGCCATTTTACCCACCACCACTTTCTGAAGTCAACAGAACGCGCGAGGGCGGCATGCTACGAGCTGGGGCAAAAGTCCATAACTTGGTCGGGGGCACGCAATCGCATCGCAAGACACACACAGCAGTAGCCATGCGGCTGCTCTCAGAAGCTTGCTCTGTCCCCCTTGTGCAGGCATAGGATATCAGCCCGAACCAAACCTCCAACAAACTTGCAAATCAGGCGCCGGATTCTTCAGCATGATCTCAAACTCAGTCGCGTCGGACTTTTGAAGCTCAGAAGCCCAGTTCCCTCTCATCCCAGGGACACGCGGTGCATGCGCCAAAAGTGATGCACTTCCGCCAAGGTACGTACCGACCAGGGCTCCAGTGGGTAGTGCACTCACCGCTACCTACAGCGCTGTGGGTAGCCGAAAGTCCGCTACCTACAGCCTATGGGTAGCTGAAAGTCAGCTACCCACTCCGAGACTCCACACTCCTGATTGGCCCGTTCTTCGCCCACCATCCCTCTAGTGTCCTAGCCAACCATTCAACGACCGCATTTGCTTGCTTCAAAATCGGAGCTGCGTCAAACCACATTAAGTCACCATCAACACCAGCGTTAGCCCGAAGCTCTTGGCATATGCACTCTTCGCGCATCTGCTGTATCTGCACAGAGCCAGGCCAGCAGCCATAGCTGCCTCGAAATCTTGGACGGCGCGTTTGTCCAAGGCCAGATTCAGAACGCAAAGTCGTCAGAGGTGCTGGAGGTCTGTCTCGAGGTGAAATTAATGCATCACAGTGCGAAGCCTGGTCGGAGCCTTGGTGGATTCCCACTGGTGCATAAAGAGGCTACCTTTATCGAGAAGGGTCGGGGAGAATGGGGCGCCGGCCGAGACGGAGGCGATCTGGAGTTGAAGGTTTGGCGTGGGAACAGCTGAAGGCATTGCAGCCGACGAACTGCTCCGGTGGCCAGTCCAACGAATCGCTTACTCCATTCCATCACATCAAAGCAGGTACAGGTTGGAAGTTCCAGTGTTCCTGGTCTAAGACACTGCAATCTCTAATTTTTTCAGCGTCAAAGAAGAAGAAAAGAGCCTGTACTTGTGTGGCTTATGGTCTTTAATAGTTTGAACATATAACTAAGATGCAGATTGTTGCGACACAGCTTCTCTTCTCGTCAGGCCCCTCGAATCAGATCATTGCATCAGTCTCTAGCCACAGATTATTAACCCTTCTTCTTTATTGATCTTTGCTGCCTTACAAGAGCTTTTGGGAACTAGTCTCTAGACTTCTGTCGGGGGCTGCATGCAAAACATCTTTGTGGTTCGCGTCTACTCCAAGAAATAATTACTGACACTGATGCGCCCGCTTGACTGGAGCGGGCCCTTGTGAACTCCTCCTGCAAGAGCTACGACCACATGTTCAAGTCTCTCACCTTTTCCATTGGCAAATTTTCTCCCATTTCTCTGTGCCCTCTTCGCACCCCCCTGTTCTTGCCCAGGCCGCCAGCAGCTTCACCTGAACCTCCTCCAAAGGCTGCATTCCCATCCAGAATCACCTTTGCAGAAGATGCTGTTGGTGCAGTGCCCTCTAAAAAGACTTTGCCATTGACACTCTTTCTTCCCTTGCCCTGCCACTGTCTGTCTCATACTTCTCCGTCTTTGCCCAGTTCCAAGCCCCTGACGCTCTCGAGATGCTTCCTCGTTTCGCCTTCGACGTACTCCATTCTTTCCCTCCTCCAACCCTTGTACTTTTCTATCCCTTCGTCAGGCCCTTCGCATTGGGGATGCTATTGCTTCGAGAAGTCGACAGCCTGCAGGACTTGCAAATGCGACAGGTTGAACACCGTGTTTCTTGCATTGGACCCGTCAAAAGACTGTACTATGTCTGGAGGGGCTTGAGGTGTGAGTTCGGAGAGTAGACCGTCTGTGCATGGCGGCTAGTGAAGTTTGCGAACCTGTGGACATGGTTCAAAAGTTAGCAATCTTGGTTTTCTTCAATCGAGAGAATACATACCTCGAGGGGCAGGCCAAGGTAGGGGCATGCCCGAACGTTCCACTGACAGCTGCAGCGGGTTGTTGGGGCTTTTGATCGGACGTCGGGGCTTGTGGCCAATCTCTGCGTCAATCATGGACGTCATCGCTATGGAGTCCGTAGGGGAGGCGGCGTTCGAAAGCGCTCTCCCATCCGGTGGCAAGCTGCTTGCTAATGAGCTCAAAAAGCGCGGCATTGAAGTCGCGAGGACCAGATGCACCAGCATAGACACCGGACCGGCGGCACGTCGCCTTGTAGGTCGCCCATAACATGCCACCGTCGCTTCGGTGTGCGCCCCAGCGAGGTGTTGACTCTCGCGAGATTTTCCTGCCGAGCCATGCAGTGTGCGTTGACCAAAATATCGTTCACAAAACAGTCTGCGTCCACTTCAGAGGCAGTCGCAAGTTGGCTGGAAGCTGCGGAACGAAAGCGAAGTAGAGATGTAAATGGATGTCATCAGGGCTCTTAGGCGGGTCCGAGGCACCTGTCGTCCCTGGATCGTTGCAGGGCGTTTTTGAGCAGAATTCTGCGACAACGTGACGGGACGAGGTCATTGGGAGAGCGACTGTCGGTGCTGCCGGGGAAAAGAGGATATAAGAGAGGCAGAGGCAATGAAGATACGTCAGGGTTACTTATTGACTGCCGGAGAGGTTTCTAGCGCGAGGCAGTTGTCACGTTGTGGTTCTTGCCTATACGCCCCGGCACCTGCCGATTGTGTTGTGGCTGGCTTCAACGTCCTGCCCACCTGAGCAGAATCTCTGCCGTGGTGGGCGACAGATGCCTGTGACGTCGAAGAGACATCCCATTGGGTTCTCACTTTGAGTGTGGGCCTTTGTACATCTGTGTGCGCACAATGACCCACAATAACTTTTCGTGACTTCCCCAAAACACAACCGCTGCTGGTGCGATGGAAGGGAGCAAGGCACAGCCCCGCTGCGCAAGAGCAGCAAAGGTAGCAAGAACCACTGCTGTGGTTGCCAGCTCCATAATTTCTCATCGCCTGCCTTGAAGCCAGCAGATTACCTGCCTTACAGCCGGGAAGGCATGAACCTGCTGAGGACACCCAGGGCAGGACCTCGATAGACGCACAGCGACGCCGCCCCATCGGAGCTGGCTCCGACAAAGTCGCATCTTGCAAAGCACAAAGACGACGTGTGAAGCCCGCTCAACGTTCCAGAGTCTCCAGGATCCAGCCTCCAATGCAACAGCGGAAAATGCAGCGAATAATTCCACCAGCTAGACGACAGCCACCGCGGTACTTCCATCGTCAGCTCAGAAGCTAGCTCGGCCTGTTTCCAAAGCTACCTCTCCCGACTTCGTGCTCCCGGCTTCGTGCTGCAAGCTCCCCGTTCGTGGCAGCTGACGCTGATGGAAAGCCGACGCGACGATTAGAGATTAGCGGCATTATGTTCTGTCTGTCTTTTCCCACAAGCTGCGCCGCTTTGTATGTCCACCTTGACTTGCATACACTTGACACCACTCTGTGCACTGTGACTGACGCGTTGCAATTGCAGATGACAATCCTC